CACTTTCCAAAGCCTTCCACCCATAGATCCAGAACTCCCATCTCCCCAGTGCTGCGGGGTCACAGGGGCCTAGTCCCCAACTCCCAGCCCCGCTGACTTAGGGAGGAGGGCAAGGAGGGGCAGGCTCTCTGGAAAACTGAGCATTTCAATGCAAAAGAGACAGAATTCTCTAGAGAGGCTATTTAGATTATTACATCAGACTAGGTTATAATCCAAAATGGACTAAATTAAAAGTTTTGTTGTTTTCTCACTACCCAGGGGTTAGGAGCTTGTAAGGAAGACCATAGCAGTTGAAAACAAAACAAGGCACATTTCTATTGTACATCCCAGGAGTAGTTTGAGAGGTTTAAGGACCAGCTATGTGTGTGCTTGCATAAGCGTATGTGCCTTGGGTATGTCCAAGGCTCAGTTTCTTCATCTGTTAAATGAGGATGAATAATATTTCATCTCAATATCCTATTGTGTGTTTAAATGGTAGTTGCATAAACATCCCTAGCTCACTGCAGGAAATCAGTGAGTGTATTTCCTTGCTGGGGCTCAGGTACGGGACTAGGGCAGTAAAAGGAACAAGGCACGGGAGAGGGTACTCAGTCCTGGCCAGCACCCACTAGTCACGACCTCCTTCTCCATGGAGAGTTGAACAGACACCCATCCAATCTGCAGACAATGGTCACAGGTGGGTTCCTGGTTTTTATTTTCCTGCAACGCACATATAAGAGAGAAACCAAGTATGAGAAATTGAGTGTGCAGCCACCTGGGCCCACAGAGCTGTTCTCGTTCTTTCAAAGACCACCTTTGATAGCTGCTCCTCTACATGTGAATTTTGAGCCCCAGGGGTCTGCTTTGTCTTATGCTCATCAGGACCTGTGCTGCACTGAGCCTGCCAGCAAACCAGGGCTGAGCTGTGCTTGCAAGAACTTGTTGGAGGCTGGGTTAGAATCTTGGCTCCCCAGTCCCCATTCAGCTCATGCCCTGGTAAGAATATATTATTTTCTTAGCTCAAATTGCTGTTTCCAAGTCATTATTTCTCTACGACGAGAAAACAATATTGGGTCTTATGTAATATCAACCTCAATGAATCTGGAAGTGATCATGGAATGGGTGGATTTTTTTTTCCTCCTTAAAAAAGAGAAAAATAAATCTGAGATTGTTTGCATATGCCTGAGAATATTTATGAACTATTCCCCTTGTTTCCTCGTCACATACTTTACCCAGTGCATTTGTGTGCGGTACAGAATAAATCTTTGTGGGGAGCAGAGGCGGAGAGGGGAAGAAAGCAGTTAAAGCACTGGGTATCAAGTCCCTGGGATGTTAGTGAGCCTGAGTTTTGGGGTGCCCCAACCCTAGGCTCACTTGTCATAGACGGAGGGATAACCCATTTAGCTACTCAAAGGAATTATTTGGAGCCAGGTTTTCAAATACAAACACTGAAGGAATTAACATCTCTCTGTTGCTCTAGTTTCTTTCACATCCCCCTTGTTCCTACCAGAGCAGAAAGTTCAACACAAATGGTTTTGTAACCTGCATACCATCGGCAAAAGAGATCATTAAATTCTATGGATGGCATATTGAGCCAGGGTCAGAGGAAGGAGTTGGCAGGTAGGAGAAAAAGAACTGCCAGAAAACATAGTGGGTGCTGCCATTTGCTGTCCGACAATATGGCAGTGTTTTAGCACACAGGTATGCTGTGTCTATTTTGCTCTGGCTGTGCCTTTCAACACAGCTTGTTACCAAGGAGCATCCCAAAGGAGCATAAAGAATACGGCTTTGGCTGTATATTGAATAAGTAAGGAAGCAAATCTCCAGGCTACAGAATTTCCTTTCCAGGGAGCTGGCCACAGATTTGGAGCTTCTTAAATCACTCATTCTCTACTGCACCTTGGGATATTCAGGAATATACTGACCAAGAGTATGCGGCAAGGAAGAGAGAACAGGAGACCCCACATTTGGTAACACAATAGCGACAACTACCATTAATTGATGTCCTCATATGGACCAGGCACTGTATTAGGCACTTTCTGTGCCTTATCTGAGTTAATCCAGAGTGAAGGATCCTTAGTCCCATTATTGAGATGAGAAAGCAGAAGCTCAGCGAAGTGGAGGAACTTGCCCAAGGCCACATGTAAGTGCCAGAATCAATGGCATTTGTGGGATTTATGGGGCCTTAAGGCAATACCATAAGTACCAATAAGGAATTATTGAAATCTATTCCAAGGGCTTGGAAGGGACCCAGGAAAATAAGGGACCTTGAAGCTTAAGGCTCAGCAGCGTCACAGTGAATCCATCCTGGGCAGCATCGAGATTTAAACACAGGTTAGCCCCAGGCCCTGAGGTCCTTTCCCTGTTGTCTTGTCTCCATTTCCTCTACCATGATTGTCACCAACTGCAGCCTTCACATTCTTGGTCAAAAATACACAAACTTGGCCAGGCGCGGTGGCTCACGCCTGTAATCCCAGCACTTCAGGAGGCCGAGGTGGGCGGATGGTGAGGTCAGGAGATCGAGACCATCCTGGCCAACATAGTGAAACCCCATCTCCACTAAAAATACAAAAATTAGCTGGGCGTGGTGGTGCGTGCCAGCTACTCGGGAGGCTGAGGCAAGAGAATCGCTTGAACCTGGGTGGTGGAGATTGCAGTGAGCCGAGATTGCACCATTGCACTCCAGCCTGGCTACAGAGCGAGACTCCATCTCAAAATATATATATATATATATTTACAAACCCACATGAGGAGACTGACACATGGAGGATGTCTTCCAGAACATGCCAAACTGAAAAGCTCCATGGAATATCGCAGTTGTGACATAAATCAACAATGATTCCTGCCACCAGACTTGAGGCCTTCCATCTCAAGGAATTACTGGAGGGATATACAGAACAATCTTCCCAAAGAACTTCAACTGCTGCTCTAGTCTTCCTCACCAAATTTTATGCTATTTCCCAGACCTAGTGACATGGACACAGACTTGCACAGCAGCCCACTCAGGTCTCCAGGAACACTGGAGATTAGAACCTGCAATGTCTCATCTCCTATCTATGACTCTTTCCCCTCAGATGATATCAGTTGGTCAAATTTTCATAGGCCCAATGTTTGATTCTTCCTTTCTTCATCGTCATCAAGATTTTGCCATAATCTCCGTAAACGAAAGGGGTAGACGGATTTGAGGAAGCAAACAAATAAATCACAAGTGCTTCAGGCAGAAAAGCATAATAAGTATTGTTTAGCGCCCACCCTCTACCATTGCATTTGAATAGCCTTGCGGTCCCATCACAGCCTAGACAATGACGAAGGGAAATGCAGCATTTTCCCAGGCCTGCTTACTCTATTCTCCCAAACTGGAAACACAAAGCAGATGATGAAGTGGTTCAAACACCACGCCAGGAAGAAGAAAGCACTGAGAAAGGATGCCCAACTTCCAGCCGGTTTTCAAACATTCCAGTAAGTGTTCAATTGATTTATCTTGGGCTGGTGTCATTCCATTGTCTCGAACAAAAGGCCTTCTATGAAAAGACAAAAAGTGGATCATGAGAGGAGTGTCTCACAAGGCACATTTGGGAAAATCTGAGCAAGAGTACAGTCCCCTTGGCTTTGCCTCCAGAAGGCAACATCCCCCTCGTATCTACTGGAACGCACAGCAGGACTACTTCCATTATCTCAGTGTCAGCGTCTAAACCAGAGTCTGTAAAAACAGCTGCTGGGGATGGGGCCGATGACACAGGTGCAGGGACTGATGACCTGGTCCGTCATCCCTTCCATGTTTGTCCTGTGAGCTCAAGTAGAAAGGTTCTATGCTAGTGTTCTATGATTAGAACGGACTACGAGATTCTGGACAGAATGATTTTTAGTGATGATGGCTTCCCACGGTTGCTCTTTGGGATATTTTGTCCGCTTGTGTGTGTAAGTAAATTGTTTGACAGATAATTATTTGAGCAAGACTGTAAAAGCCTTCTGCCACATTATCTTCCTTTGGGTCCTCATTCTTTGAGTCATAACCATGACAGCTTTCTGTGCAGCTGGGGACTGCACATTTCTGGTGGAGCCGTTCCATTTGAGACAGCAGTGATTTTTAGAACAGGCTTCCCTAGAGTAAACCCAAGTGTTCTTCCCTGAGACCCATCACTTCTCTGGGGGCGACATCAAACAGGGCTGCTCTATGTCCTCTATCAAGCCTGCCTGAAGTCCTTGTCCCCAGCTCTTCGTGGGTTAGCTATAGTTAATGCTTCCACAAAGTCTGATGCATATCTATGTCCTGGAACTTCTATATAGTTTTTACTTACCTATTTAATAGCCTTTTCTTCCTAAAAATTTAATATGTAGGTTGATGTAGAATATTAGCAAATTATAAATAAGTAAAGCTTTTAAAAATTGGCTAGTATTGGCTGAGCACAGTGGCTCATGCCTGAAATCCCCGCACTTTGGGAGGCCGAGGTGGGCAGGTCACAAATGCAAGAGATCAAGACCATCCCAGCCAACATGGTGAAACCCCCTTTCTACTAAAAATACAAAACTTAGCTGGGCATGGTGGTGTGTGCCTGTAATACCAGCTACTCAGGAGGCTGAGGCAGGAGAATTGCTCAAACCAGGGAGTCGGAGGTTGCTGTTGGCAGAGACTGCGACACTTGCACTCTAGCCTGGTGACAGAGCGAGACTGTCTCTAAATACATAAATAAATGGCTAGTATTACTGAACCTGCTGAAGATGAGCAGTTATAAAAGCTTTGGTATATATCCTAACAGTTGTATTTCTATATTTATGTATTTTTGTCAAAGTGAAGGATTAGCTAGTGTTCATTGTTTGGTTAGGGTTTGCCTTTTCAGGCTATCTAGTACACTTTTACTGCATCATGTTAATGGTTTCCAGGTATTCTGCAGTGTGTGGGGAGCTGGTGATGTGACAAGGGGACAGGATTCTGGATGACCCACTCCACTCTGAAGTCCCTGTGACTGTGTCTACTGGCAGGAAGTTTGACTAAAGGCCCTTCTTTTACTCTTCCATGCCAGCGCTTGAGAGAGGCCTAACCAAGGCTCTAAAGAAACTGGATGACTACCTGAACACCCCTCTACCAGAGGAGATTGACGCCAACATTTGCGGGGAAGACAAGGGGTCGCGGCGCAAGTTCCTGGATGGGGATGAGCTGACCCTGGCTGACTGCAATCTGTTGCCCAAGCTCCACGTGGTCAAGGTAAGATCGCTCAAGCCACAGGGAACTGCAAGATCCAGTTCCATCTTAAGCCCAGGTCACCTGTGTAGATGAGTCAAGGATAGTATCACCTGTCAGTCAAGAGCCTGGACAGTGAAGTCAGGTAATAAGGACCCAAGGTCACTCTCTGCTGCTTATTGGTTGTGTGGCCTCTTTGAGCTTCAGTTTTCATCTACAAAAGAGGAATATATTGCTTACTTCCAGGGTTGGCGGAAGAGTAAGTACAGTGTGAAAGTGCTTGGCATATTGTAGGGGCTTAATACGTGTAATGGTTGCAATGATCATTGTTGTATACAGTCATAGCACTCCAAAGGCTTCTTCTTCATAGGTTTTCCCTGGCCGCACCCTTACATCTCTATTAAATGTGCCCTCAACATGCATGTTTTCTTTGTGCACAGACCCACCTTCTCACTTCCTCAGGTAGGCACACATCATCTTCCTCGTCTATCAGATGAAGAGGCGGAGGCCGCAAGAAGTAGTGTTACTGTCTTGCTATCATTGCACTTACTGCAATGTACAGTGTGATCCCCTCCTATACAGCAAATCCTGGAAATCTGAGAGTTGGAAAGGACATTTAGAGGTCATCCAAAACAATCTCCCACCCAACCTGGACCCCTTTCTGCTGTTTCTGTGACAGGCTTCTGCAGCTTCTGAGAACGAGGAGTCCTCTGCCTAATGAGCCAGCCCTACCATGTTAGACAGCTCTGATTATTAAATCATCATTCTTTACAATGAGCCCGAGCGTGCCTCCCTGCTACCCATTTGTTCTCTGGAGCAACACAGAACAGCTCTGCTTGCTTTCACCTCATCTGAAGACAATAGTTGTATCCCCCTAAGCTCTGTACATGAGCACTTCTTCCCCCATTCTTTCCTGACCCTTGTCAACCACGTATCAGATAGCCATACTGTGCTCTACCTTTACACAGGCTTCTATCTCACTGTCTCAGCCAGAAAGTAAGCTCTGTGAGGGTAGGACTTTTTCAAATCATGATGGTGGGCATATGGTGGCCCTTTAATAAATATTCATTGATTGATCATTTGATTACCTGGTGTATGTCTTTATGATACCCAGTTTATTTCTATGCTTCACTGAGAAGACTCAGATTCAATCATTTATCAGCTGGGTATATGCCTATTGTTTTTCAGCTCAAGTACTCAGTCAGAAATGCTATCTTCTCTCCAACCAGAGCACGTACTAACTTGAGTTGAAGTCACTCAGCTGTGTGTACACTGGTGTTTCCATGGGCCTACAGCTGAAGACTGAGAGGGGGTCATGCATGAAAATGCTGATGGGATGGGCAAATACAACCTATTTAGACAAAAACATTTTGGATTTGGGGCCAAGCCAATAGTCACTTGTAGGCCCAGCCAATCTACGTCTCTTTGAAGTTATTAACTACTGCATGTCCCACCCATCATCCTTCATTCTTCTTCTCCTTAGGAACAAGCACCCTCCAAAGGATGATATAATTCCAGCCCAGTCACACTGTGTCAGAGTGATACAATGCAAAGATCAGGACACCCAAGTTCTAATCTTGTATCTGCTGCCAACTAGCAGCATGAGCTAGGCCACATCATTTAATGTTTTTGGAATTCATTATTCTTGTCCCTAAAAGAACATAAGTGGATTGCTTTCCTTCTTTCCTTCTTTTCCTTTCTTTCTTCCCTCCTTCTTTCCTTTTCTCTTACTCAAACATCTAAGTTTTCTCTTACTCAAACATGACTACCACCCAAAAACCATTTGTTGAACAAGGCAAACAAATAGATCTCCCAAGCTTCAGGTTTCATCCTGTGATTTCCTCAATTCCCGCCAGCCTTGAATGATTCAGTGAAGCCCTGTCCTTGGAGAAAGTTCAGTGGGTGGTTCACCCAGAGAAGCTGGGGATCAAGAAGAATATGGCCAGTGAGAGAACAGAGGCCAGCCCTTGACCCCTATCTCTTTGAATTTCTGCTGACCCAGCTTATCAGATCCCGGAGACCTGGCAAACCTCCGAAGTTCACAAAGAGCGAAGGGGAAGCCAAGTCAGGCCTCCAGTTTGGCTTCAGTTGCCAAAACTTAATCTGGGCTATGGGAGCTAACTGTTTTCATATGAAAGAGCAAATTCAGAACATGAGCATGGAAGGCCCTGTGAACGTCAGAGCTCCGTGTGCATCCTTACCCTCCTGCTGCTCTCATGCTCCTCTTGCCTGGCTCACTTTCAGGTTTATCTCCATCCCTGGAAGCCGAGTTGCTCTGGCCCAGGCTCTTCATGAGAGTTTGGCTTGAACATTCATTGTCTGGCTCTCTCTTAGTTCTCATCTTCCAAAGTCAAGCCAGGGTGCACAGGTCTTGGTTGGGAGGAGCATTGCAGGCCTGTCCTTGCCTACTGGGACCCTTGCCTAGCATAGTGATGATGTTCAGTCCCTGAGACAAACAGGAAGGGGGACATCAACATCAACATAAATATGTATTTATAAATTGCATTTCTGCTTTATTGAATCTAACCTTCTGCCCTTTAAAATCCTGAAAATAAAATTTCAGCATGAAATGACGTGAGGCTACTCTCTGAATCAGTGTGTCATTGTGAAAAATATTTTTGAATCTTTTTACCTTATTGTAGACCTTTTTCATCCATTCTGGCAAATTCCAGCCAGTTCCCTTGGTCAGGCCACCACTCCTGCATGAATTTGCTCTTACCCAAGACAGCCTCTTCTCAAAAGCACTTGACCCGACCCAAGGGATCCTCATCTTGTAGTTAACAGGAGGGGACTGGGGAGTTCTGGTAGGGGCATCTCTTATTGTGAGACTTTTGTCAAAGGACTCAGACTTCATCACTCTTGCTTGTAGCTACCTAAGCCAGACAGAACAGTGTGGGGGTGGCTTTTTTGATGGCCACACCAATCCAGTTATTTTAACAGAGAGAATTTAAATAAATGCTAGGTAATAAAAAACTGGAAAGACAAAATATACTAGGAAGTTCCACCTTCAAGAGGCAGCTACGACTCCTAGGCCAGGAGGAACAAAGGAAAGAGGTTGGAATTACTAAAACCTGTAAACTTGGGAGCTCTGTAGATGAGAGGCCCTGCAGTCTACGGCCACACCACCTTGAACTCACCCGATCTCGTCTGATCTCGGAAGCTAAGCAGGGTCGGGCCTGGTTAGGACTTGGATGGGAGATGAGAAACCCTGCAGAGCTGAACCTGGGTGAAAGTGCTGCTCAGCTGGTGCCAGGGTCCCAGCTCAGGCTGGCTGGAATCCAGCCTCTAAAGCAGAGTCCCTGCTGTGTGCTGGCCTTTCTATGTGGCTATGAAGAAGCTGGTTCTGCATTAGCAAAAGAGCCAACTGGATTCAGTTGCTGCTCCCAGAAAGAACTAGAGACTCTCGCTAGAAAGAGGAAGCCGAAAAGCAGGGGCTTCTCCTTCCCTTCTCCTCCTTCAAGCTTGCTGGCTGTCTCCAGTAACTCTTCTTGGCCAAACCTAACAGGATTCACTGGCAAAGCAGAGATGTGATCTGCTCAGCCCCAGCCCCAGCATCACAAAAAAGCAAATAAAAGAGTAGATTTGGAGATAAGCAGCAAGAGATTAATGGCTGGTGCATGAAGGATTCTGAGTAGAGCCATTGCTTTATCAGCTACTTAGGGCTACGTGGCAAAGTAGAAAGAACCGTGGATTATAAAGCAAGGACTGTAATAAATATGAATAGTTACTCAGTAGATACTGGTTAAATTAACTAATTTCTCATGTAACATTAAATCACATAATCTTTTGTAGCTTCAGTTTGCTCATTGCTAGGGATCTTCAGTCTTTAAAATTATTTTATTACACATGACGCTAGGGAATCTTGTCTGATGTACAGATAACTTAAGATTGTGACGATTAAATACAATTGTTTATTGAATCCCTACCTCTCTAATTTCCCTTTGTTTTGCTATTCTTATATGTAAATAGGAATGTAATCGACTCTTCCTTATAGGATTATTTAGAAATTTAGGTAGCTTGTAAAGTACTTACAGCAGTCCCTGGAACAGAGCACACAGTGAATAAATGTTTGTTATTATCATTCCTCTGATCAACCTCATTGAGATTATCAAGGAGTACAGAAATGAAGAAGCTGTGATTGCTATCTTCACACTGCTCACAAAGTAGAGAAAAAAGACACTGAGACAGCAATCATGATTGAGAATAGATTATAGATCAGTGTTGTAACAGAAGTTCAAGGGGAGAAGACAGGGGAAAAAATGTTTCCAAATGTCCATGCACATATCTGCAACAGTGAGTTTTTCATCCATTAAGTCATCATCATCCTTCACTTCAGCACAACTTTCCAGAGAACTCTGCATATTACCAAGCACCAAAATGAAGATGAAAGCCCAGAGTGACTGATCTGGGTCTTCTCTGAGTGGGAGGATCCCAGGATCAATGGGCCCTCTCTGAAAAATGAAGCAAGGTAGAGGGGTGATTAGCCAGATACAAGAAATCCAGAGAACACCTGTGAATACTATACAAAAGGAACTTCACCAAGGCATATAGTCACTAAACTGTCCAAGGTCAATGCTAAAGAAAAGGCAGCTAGAGAAAAAGGTTAGATCACACGCAAATGAAACCCCATCAGGTTAACAGCAGACTTCTCAGCAGAAATCTTACAAACCAGGAGAGATTGAGGGCCAAGTTTCAGAATTCTTGAAGAAAGAAGTTCCAGCCAAGAGCTTCATATCCCACCAAACTAAGCTTTATAAACAAAGGAGAAATAAAATATTTTCCAGACAAGCAAAGGCTAAGGGAATTTATTCCCATTAGACCATAATTACAAGAGATCCTTAAAGGACTTCTCAACATGGAAACAAATGAATGATACCTGCTACCACAAAAGCATACTTGTATATAGCCCACAGACCCTGTAAAGCAACCACACAATAGAAACTACAAAACAGCTAGCTAACAACTTCACAATAAGATCAAAACCTCACATATCAATATTAACCTTGAATGTAAATGATCTAAGT